GTTCTCTAATGTCAGCTACTGCCCTTTGAGATACAGGTTGTCCTGGCGGGGGCTGTAACTGAAATGGAACTGTCCCCAGGAGGAGATGCAGGGACGGGGCGTGGCCCACAGACTTCTGAACAGCCCTCCTTTCTCCCTGCAGCTCAGCTCTCTTTTAAAAAGAAATTCCTCTGCACAAGTGAGCACAGAAAGGTCTGTGAAGTTGCCCACTATACTGCAAAAAATGGGACCAACAAAACAAACTGTTCTGAGGTGGCAGTGCGTGTCCTGCACCCTAGACCTGTCTCCTGAGGCAGAAGCAGGAGTCACCGACAAACCACAGACTTGAGCTCACACCAGCTGAAGGATGTGGGGCAAGCCACACCCCTCAATGCCCCGTCTTCCTGTCTGATCAAATGCAATACCTGCTCATGAAGCTCTTGTGAAAATTAAAGGAGGAAGATGGACACAAATGTGCCTCCCCAGGGAGGACTCGGTAGCTGTTCGTCCCTTCCCCCTCTCTTTTAGTGGAGCCCACCACGTCCCTTCTCCCCCACACCAACCCCGCTGGAACTTTCTGGTTCTTCAGGAGAGGAATAGCATTTGGGGAACTCCTTTGGGAGGGGTGTGGATTTACAGTCTGGGAGAAGGATGCGGGAGAGGGGAAAGTCCACTGGGATGGGGGGAAGGGAGTTCTGATCCTAAATCAAAGGCCCCTCAACATGTTTCTCAGCCTCTCAGGGCTTCTCCTACAAATGAACATGTCAGAGCAGTTCTTCACTGCTATCCCCCAGTGCCAAACACATTGAGAGGACCAGCCTCAGCACCGCCGGGTCTCAGGCTCACGTTTGCCTAATGCCACCAAGAGCCAATGAAAGACCAGTGAACCCTCGGGGCTCCTTTTTTGGAATTGCTATGTCAGCAGTTTGCACACACAGTATGGACCGGAGTTCCCTGGGGTCCCCTTTGAAGCCCACATTCCTGGGCTGTCCCCAGAGCTTCTTACTGGGTGGGCCTGTGTGGGTCACGCAGTCTGGCTGCTTCTGATCGAGGACAACATCCCAGTAAAGGCTCCAACTGCCTGTACTGGGAAACCTCATGCAGCTCTGCACTCACCTTTTGCCACTCTGAGGCTACGAAACACCTGTTTTCTACAAAATGTCACTAGTAATTACCTTGGAAAATGGGTTGTCATTTTTTGAAAATGGGCTCCTATGTATTCATGGTTCTCTCTGCTTATCAAAAGCCGGCCAGATTGTGCAGGCAAGAGAGTACCTTTAGGCAGCAGGACGGTCTCACCACAGCCCTGCCAGACTTTCCCTCAAGCCAGCCAATCCGGCCACACTTTGACCTCACACAGGGCTTAGGTGCCCACCGAAGCCCAAGTGCACCTCTCACCAATGCTGTGTTCAGTGCGGGACACCAGGAGCACGGGCTTGAGTCCCAGCCCTGCCACTCAGTAAGACCCACCTCGCCGAACTCCCTCCCACACTCACAAAATCAGGAGAACCTTACCTCAGCCAATCATTACCAGGATTCAAAGGGGATGGATGGTGTAGGGCTTACACTTAACATTGCCAGGGCTTCACCATCATTATCATCATCGATACCAAACTCTGAGCCTGCCTGTGAGAAGCCTTTCTGAACCTTCCAGAAGAAGAGGGATATAATTCTCTGTGAGATACTAACCGTGCTTTTTAACAGCTTTACTGAAATTCACGTGCCATAAAACCCATTCACTGAAGTGTACCACTCAGTGGGCTTTAGCAGTTTCACAGAGGTCTGTCACCACATCACAGTCAATTTTAGACCATGTTCATCACTTTCAGAAACTCCAAGAGAAACCCTGTGCTCTATGGCTGTCACCCTCCATTCACCACTGCACCCCCACTACTCCCCTAAGCAATTACTGATACACTTTCTACTGAAGATGATGCTCAGCTGGACGTGTCATATAAATGAAGTTATCTGTGGCCTTCTGTGACTGGATTCTTCCATCTGGCATAATGTTTTTAAAGTTCATCCACGCTGTACCATGTATCAGCACTTCACTCCTTTCCATGGCTGAGTGGTATTCCATTTTATGGATATACCACAATGTGTTTATTTCATCACCTTGCGGTAGACACTTGGGCTTTTGACTTTTGTGAATAATGCTGCTTATAAACATTCCCTGATGGTTTTTATGTAAATGTGTTTTCAATTCTCTTGGGGAGATGCAACTCAAGAAAAATGCATCAGGTAATACTGTGGAGTCAAAGGTAACTGATGCTCATCCTTTTCAGGAAATGCCAAACTCTTTTCCAAAGCAGCTGCGCTACTTGACATCCTAACCCACAGTGTATGAGGTTTTAATTTCTCCACATTTTGAACATTGGTCTACTGGTTTGACCATAGCCCTCCTCTGAGCACAAGTAGTAACCTTACTTTTTTTTTAAAAAAGTCTACTATTTTTGTTTTTTAAACCTACAGCCTAAGGTTAAAGCTACACCTAAGGAAACTATGATGAAGACAGAGAAAAGAACGAAGAAAGGTGAGCAGCGCCAGCAGTGGAGACAGTAGAAGGCTGTGGGTGGGGGCACTGGCATGTCGCATGCTATGCCAGCTTGGCTCTGGGGGACACTGGAGTTGTTGTGTATGCTGTGTGGGGGACTTGGGCAGGGCTGCAGAAAAACCCATTGAGCCTACTTCTCTCCTCCTAATGTTCTTGTCTCCTTTAGTTCGCCCACATCTTTCTGGGTCTTTTAAAGAAAGTTCTTCTCCAAATGATCCAAGGTGTAGCATTTCAGACAAAGCTCCTAGGTTCAACTGCCGGCCAACAAATCCATGTGGGTCTCGCCATGCTCCCTCCTTGGGGACAAAACGCACTGCCCAACATGAGTCCGTAGCTGCTGTTTCCCGAGTGAGGAGCTACAGCGAATCCCCTACTTTGGTGCCTGCACGGCCCCTCTGTGGAACCCTCAGGGAAGCAGGCGGGTCACAGGGTAGAGAAAGCCATTCTCACTGAATGTAGCTCCAGTTTCCTAAAACGTCACTGTCAGTGTCTACCTTGAGGCAGGAACACTTAAAGCCCCTAGTCTGAGGAGGGCTGCTTCTGTTTTTAGCTTGGAAGATTACAGAGGAATGCCTCAAATCATCCTTAACTGCGAAGTGTCTGTCCCCTCAGGTCCTCAGCAGTTGGAGGTTTACCACCCACAGCTCAAAAAGAAAATCAGAAAGGAAGAAATGTGCCTGGAGCGAGTAGGGAGTCATTCAAGAATAAGGAAGAAAACAGGGCCACCGGGTAAAGAGCTCTGCAGGCTGGGCCTCCCCAGCTGGGGACAGACAGGTTTGCAGCCCTGATCACAGTTATATAAAAACACGTCAAGGAAGCAGAAAGGCCTGGAAACAGCAGTTCTCCCTGTGGGCCTCAGACTCAGGGGCAGCTTTCTTGCCGGAGGGCCCTGTGATGTCATTCATTCAAAGATTGATAGATGATAGATAGAAAGATAGATAGATAAATGACAGATAGATAAATTAGGCACTGACTGCACACTGAAAGCCTTTTATTAGCATTCCTCATACTGACTGTGATAAAATGATAAAATATTCATTGATAAATGTATCTGAAAAGTTACTTTTTGTCATTATGGCTTTTCTTCCTAATCACTAGAGGACTAAAACCATTACTGTGTGATGTCTGCAAAGATTTCAACATTCAAAGGGGACTTTCAACTTGAAAGGTATAAGTGGGGGGTAGAAGACAGGAAAAAAAATTCTGGAACAGCACAGAAATCAGCAAACTTCACTAAAAACAAAGTTTTAGTGGAACACAGCCACGCGATTAGCTTACATACTGTTCCATGGGTGCTCTGCAGGACAGTTGGGACAAAGACTGTGTAACCCAGGAAGCTTGAAGTATTTACCATTTAGCTCTCCATAGAATGTTTGCTGACCCCCAGTATAGCATATCATGAAACACGCCAGCTATTGAAAACAAAATCAACACAAGCTCTATATACGAACAGGGAAAGATGTTCAAGATATACTACTGAAAATGTGTGCTTTGATTCTGCCTTCTGAGGTGGGAGCCATTCATTTGGTCCTGTCGAGCTCAATGAGAAAGCACCTGGCGCTCTGGGGAAAAGGAAAGTTACAGGGAAGGAGGATTACGGGCAGGATCAGTGTCTGTCTGGGCATCCCCTGACAGGCTACAGGCAGGCTCTGAGTCCTGGCTCTGTTACTGCCCTCAAGAGCTCAACAGCTCTGAAGGAACTGTCCCCTTCTCCTCAGCCTGGGTCTGAGAGACATTTTTAAAAAATTAGTTAATTAATAAAAGCAAGAGTTTAGCAGACACCAAAATGTTACCACGGCTTTAAGTCAACAGCACGGAATACTGAACCCCAGAATCAACCAGAAGTGTCCACTGAGGCACCGCTGGGCTCAAGACAGGGCCTGGAGCCCAAGGTGGAAAGGGCTGCCCAGGAGACAGCCCAGAACAAAGCGGAAAGAACAGCATGGCTGGGCCAGTCCTTTTTCAAAATTAAGCATCAGTAAAGCCTAACCCAGGCATAGGCCAGGCCAGGAAACTCGGTCCTCATGGTGCACCAAGTGTCCCCTAAGAAAGCTCCTCAGCACCCTCTTCAGTCCATCTAGGAAAAGCACAACCTCTCACTCTCCTCTGCATGTGGTCAGAAAGGAAGCAGGACACGCAGGGAGAGACCACAGCCGGGGTCTGAGCTGGCTCCAGACTGCTCACGGCCGCCCTCCCCTCCTATGCTTTAGGATTTCCCTCCCACCCCCTGCAGCACTGCAGTTTATTTTGTGGAGTGAGAAGTGTCACTCAGATGGCACACGTGTCCTCACTCACAGCTCCCCAGCCCAGAACCTCTTCTGCCCCGAGAGGCCCCGCCGTGTCTTAGGAGTGGCCACGACTGTGTCACAGGAAGATGCTCTTAAAAGTTCAGTTACTTGTTGGAAAAGCGCAAAGAAAAGGGGTAAGTACTTAACTGTTTAGTAAGAAACCATTCAACCACTGTCAGTGATTCTCTATCAAGTCAGTTTATTCCAACTGTGGTTTGAAAAAGTTTCAGTCACACCCACCATAGGAGGTGACCAAAGGCACAAAGCGGAAGTTAGACAAGTGTGGTCTGCAAACTGCGAAGGGTCTCAGCAGCGGCCTTCAGAATCTTCAGCTCTTCCGTCCACAGTGTTTCCACCAAAGCGAGCTGGTTTATCAAAGACACTTTTTCATCCTTCATGTGAGAAACCTGGAAGTTATTTTATTTCTTATTATAGTAAAATATAAATGCATCTAAAATTTACCATTTAAACATTTTTAAGTACACAATTCAGTACCATAAAATGCATTCACTTTATAACCACTTTTACAATTCACTTTCAAGACTTTTTTTAATCACTGTACACAGAAGCTCTGTAATAATTAATAACCCTATTCCCTCTGCCCCAAGCCCCTCTCTGTATTCCACTCTGTTGCTAGGAAGTTGGGCATTCTGAGACCTCAAAAAACTGGAATCGTATAATATTTGTCTTTGTTCACAATGTTATCAAAGCTCATTAAAATGACTTTTTAAAATCCCAGTCAAAGGCGCTGGGGATTTAGCTCAGCGGCAAAGCGCCTGCCTGGCAAGCGCAAGGTCGTGAGTTCAGTTCCCGGCACCAGAGAAAAACCAAAAAAAAAATAAAAAAAAATAAAATAAAATAAAATAAAATCCCAGTCAAATCTTCATAGAAATGATCTGACTTCTCATTTCATTAAAACATTCATGAAATTAAAACATACAGAGAAAAGACTACTTAAAAATCTAGTACTGGGGCTGGGGATTTAGCTCAGCGGCAAAAGCGCCTGCCTGGCAAGCGCAGGGTCGTGAGTTCGGTTCCCGGTACCGGAGAAAAAAAAAAAAAAAAAAAAAAAAATCTAGTACTAAGAAATTAAGCAATAACACTTAATTCTTTAAAGGTGTAGCAAAGATACGGAATCATCTAAGGGCCCATTAGTTGGATGAAGGAATAAAATGTGCTGTAGATACAGAGTGGTATACTGGTCAGTCTTCCATCCAAGTACTAACCAGGCCCCACCCTGTTAAGCCTCTGAGATCGGGCGCGTTCAGGGTGGTATGGCTGTAGACTACTGTTCAGTCTTTAAAATAAAAAAGGAAACCCTGCCATTTGTGACAACATACATGAGCCTGAACCAGGAAGATATTATGTTAAATGACATGAGCCAAGTACAGAAAGATAAACGTGATGTTTCCTCATATGTGCACGGGCTAACCAAAGCTGAACTCACAGAAACAGCACCAGGGAGATTACCAGACACAGACAGTAGAAGAGGGGTAGGGAAGGCGTTGGTAAAGGATGCAGAATTGAGCTGGATAGAAGGACTGTGTCCCACAGATCCAGTGTACCTCAGAGGGACTACAATTAGTAACAATATGCACACTATATACTAGAAAATCCGTCAGAAAGTAGATCTTAAGGGCTCCCACCACAGAAAATGGTATGTGAGGTGAGGATGATGTTAAAAGGTTTGATTAAAGCCATACCACAGTATTGTCATATTTACATGTCAAAATATCAAGCTGCACACCCTAAATATATACAGTTTCTCCCTGTCCATTAAAAAGATGTAATACACTAGAAACATACCTTTTGAAGTGCAGCAGTAGTCTCCTCTAAGAGATAATAACATATTTTCTGTGCTATGTTCAAACTTGTCTTCTCATTTGTATCTGAAATTACTTCTCCGAGAAGTACTTTTGTCCAGCAAGCACTAGAACCAAAATGTTCAATAATTTCAGCAGGTTTCTCGGAAAATAAAGACAACTTTCACACTGCAGCACAATACACAGACTCTCCTATTCTTATAAAAGTTTTGCCATAAGTAATTTCCTAAAACCTCCACACCACTGGCAGCTCCTGTGGTCAAGGAATACGTGAGAGAAGGAGTAACAAGGCCTGAAAAACCAGGGGGTCAGGTGCTCTTTGCTGACAGGGACTGATTTATTACCCTCATAACCCTGTGCCTGGCACACAAATAAGTGAAGTCACATCCACCAGCTGTGGGAATAAGCAAAAGACAGAACAGGAAGGAAGACACAGGCAAGAAGGCAAGCCCACAGCAGAAAAGAGTTAAGGCTCTAGGGCTTCCTTCTCTTCAAGTAAAGTTTTTCCTAACAGGTGGTAACCTGAAACCATTTCACACAGCAAATTGCTCTACATGTGGAAGAAGGAGCCTACAGTCAACAAGCCTTTCTCTCCATGTAAGTCACTCCACCTTAACACACACAGAGCTACAGGAAGTGGGCTCAGGCAGGTGGGGGCCACTTCCAGCAGGCAGAAGAGCACAGGGGCATTAGGGTAGGTCTGAGGGAGCCAAAGCAGGAGGCTGCATCAGAAGGGGAAGAATAAATCTACACACAAGAAAGCAGCAGTAGCGAGGGAGAGGAAGATAGAGGGGCAGCTTGTGGACGCAGAGAATCTAGAAGTGGTGGCAGTGACTTAGAAGGGGAAGGGCCTAGAGGATGGCTGCTAAATCATGAGAATGGAAGTACACACACCAGTCAGAAATTCAGAGCACCTCAAAAGACACAACAGGCACTCAACTTAAGGTCTTCACCTTCAGAGGAGTCATCAGACACCTTAGAAGCACAGGAGTTCTCATGAAAGAAAGCAGAAAATTACTATGTACCTCGCATGGTGTTTCATGAATAACCATTACCTAACGTGATCTGCACAATGACCTACAAAGAGAGCACTGTTATCCTCATAGCAGACTCAAAGAAACTGGGACTCTGGCAAGCAGGAGACCTCACCTTGGGGGACAAAGCTAATGGGAGGTAGACATGGTGCACAGACCCAACCAGGCAGAATTCTGGTCACATGCTTTGTCTGCCACATCAATCAGCCAGTTAGAACTCACTCAGGGGAAAAAAAGTGACCTCTGGGTAACATCAGTAGCTTTATTTAACTTTACGCTAAAATGCCTGAAAAATCATACATGCCTTGAACCAAGAAGGATTTAAGGACGCTTACATGGGTTCACAACAAGATAAAACATTATATGAGACGAATGATGGAGAGAATAAGACAAAGGAAAAATGAAAGAGAGGTAGGAAGATACAGTCAGCAAAGAATCAGTGGTGAGTCACAGGTCTTAATACCCTGCACATCTGAGTAGACCACAACTTTGCCTGAGTTTTTACAATGAAAAGAAACAAACTTATCAGCTGCAGAAGTCACTATGTCTATGAGATCAAAAGATACCATGTGCTCAGAGTAAAAACAGCTACCTACATCCTTGAACAGTTGAAAATCTGTGTACAATTTTGACTCCCCCAAAATTCAATTGCTAAAAGCCTGCTGTTGACTGGAAGCCTTAACAACTCAATCCATTAATACATACTTGGTATGGTATGTGTATTATACATGAAGAAGAATCCATAAGTGCCCAAAAGATCACTTTTTCTTGCCACGAGCAACTTATTACTACAGAGACTGCTGCCTTGACAGAGATGATTAGCATTATAGGGTACTTTAAGCAGAAACTCAAAAGCACTTGAACTCACCAGAATAACAATAGTAGGTGGCTACACTATTATAGTAATGCCATATGCACTGCAGATAATTTAATTTTATGCAGTTATGACTGAATACTGCATCCTTTCCTTTGTTTACATTTCTCTTGACTACAGATGGTGCCATGTATATCTGTGTTTATGTGTGTAAGTTTTCAAAATTTGCAACTTTTTATACTAGATTTGTATATATTTTATGTTAGTAAATGATAAAATAGACTATTATCTACATACATTTTTATGCATTCATGACATACCTCAGTGTTTCTTAATCTTTTCAGTATTTCTTGGATTTATAGTTTATCTGTGATTTTTTTTAATTGCCACAAATTTCCAAAATAAACTCCACATAGAGGTAGACCTGTACTATTCAAACCTGCATTATCCAAGGGTTACAGGTATTGTTGCTACTAAGATCAGGGAGAAATTTTACTCCCAAGCCCCTACAGGAAGAGCAGAACCATCCACAGCCACCACAGCAGGTAGCCCCGAGCGAGTATCAGCTCAAGGAAAAACTCTCATCCCATGAAATATCCTCAGTGAGCCCCAACGTCAATCCAGACATCAGGCTGTCCACTGGAGCATAATCGCAGTCCCTTCACTATGAGTCTCTTCCTTGACGCCACCAAAGAGAAACCTAACTAAACCCTCTAGTTACACTTGTTTTTAGATGACTTAAAAATCACTCATCTTGGCAGTCACACAGCTGGGCAGTACGAGCTTCCCACTAGTTTTGTTGCAGATAATGCCTCTGATGTGTGGGTTATGATGATGACCTAGGTTACTTTTCAAGGATGTGAAAACCATTTTTTTTTAAACACTGACTTCTCTTGAGCCTGCAGATGTTCAATGGGAGAATGGAACAAGATGGCAACACTCAACACCTCTGCCTTCATACTATGACTCTCTCCTTTGTTGCCTTAACCTTTAGGTTAGATTCTACTCAGCTCTGCACGTAAAAAATATTGATCACTGAAGAAATGTTTTGTCCAAAACTGTGATACAGAGTGAGCCTGACCTAGACTCCCCTCTAAGGAGTTACTGAATTTCCTGGGCGTTACTGAATCCAACCAAGTTGACATCAGTATTAATCATCACAAGTCTTCTACTTGTCAACTTGACAACTGTACTTCTTTAAGCCACAATCTCCAAATAAAGACAATAACAAGGCCATAATTCCACCTAACATGATATAACTACATCAGTATACAACTAAAAAAAGCACTAATTCCTTCCCTAAAGTCTAAAAAGCTCCAGAACCGCTCAAAAGCCTACATCCAAAGTCTCATCTGAGATATAAGGCAAACTCTTAGCCATTGAGCACCTGTAAAAATAAAAGCAAGTTACACACACATACAATGATAGGGCAGGCACAGGGTAAGTATTTCCATTCCGTATGGCAGTAATAAGAAAGTAGCAAGGAGTAATGAGAAAGACCATATTCCACCAGGACAAACATTCAATCCATGTCCAGAATTCATGGATGTGAGCTCCAAAGGACTTGAGCAGTCCTGTTCCTCCAGCCTTGTCAGCTGCTGCACAGCCACCTGTTAGGTTGGCCTGGCTTGGACCTTCAGCTTTTCTCCATAGTATACCACATTCCTGGCATCTCTGACTTCTTAGAATCTCTACTGCAGCTTCACGTTCATTCTCAGCCTCATGAATCATCTTCCCAGGTGCTGCCTGCAGGGGTTCTAATTTTGCAAACATACGGTCTTGTGTCCCAGGTCTTCCTCTGAAATTTAGGTGGAAGTGCCTGTGACCCCAAAACTCTTGCATTCTGCATGCCTGCAAAACCAGCACCATGTGTACAATGCTAAGGTCTGCTGTCACCAAAAGCAGTAGCCAAGCCCACTTAGACCATGCCTGTAGCATCTTCTGATTGCCTAAGCTTGATGAAATGAATACTAGGAAACCAATTTCCTAGGCAGCCCTGCTGGAGCAGAATGCCCAGAGACTCTCTTTTTCAAATGAAATATTTACTCTTTTACATCTTTGGCCCTTCAAAGGAGTCTTGCTAATTCCTGAGATGCCCTCTAGGTATCTTTCTTTTTGAGCTGGTACAATATGGTGGTAATCCCTTCAATAACCACACCTTCTTTGGTCTCAAGTTTACATTTGCATCTTTCCCAGGCAAACTGCAAGCTTTTCAAGTCTTTCCACTCTGCTCTTTGCTCTCCCTGTTCACTGTAAATCTGGTTTAAAAGCAGCCAACAATACTTATGCCACCACCCAATTGTCTTGCTGCCTTGAAATTTCCTCCACCAGATAAACTAGTCCCTTACCATTAAATTCAGCCCCATGGAAAATACTAGGGCAAGGACAAAATGTAGGTAAGTTCTTTGCCAGAACATAACACAAATGCCCTCTGCTCTAATTCCAAATTGAGTTCTCATTCACATTTGAAACCTCAAGAGCACCAGCCTTTCCTGTGACCATTCCTACCAACATTCTGGGTTACTGAGCTCCCTTTAGAATGAAGCTCCACTTATACCACAGGGCTTCTGCAACCTACATTTCTAAACCTTTGCAAACTCTTTCAAACCAGATCCAAAGCTTGTAAACTGCATGGTGTGGTATATTCACAATGATCCCTCTTCTTAGTACCAATTTCCTGTGCTAGTCCGCTTCCTCTCACTCTGACAAATCACCTAGCATGAACAACTTAAAGAAGAAAGGTTTATTTTGGCACATGGATTCAGATTCTAGTCACAGGTCACCTGCCACAATTGCTTTTGGGTCTGCAGCAAGGCAGAAACATCATGGTGGAAGGCATTGTGGAAGAAAGCTACTCAAAGCAACGAAGAAGCCAAAGCAACCGAAAGCAGGGGGGCTTCCTCCTTCTACTTTTCTTTAGTCTGTGCCCCAGCTTATAGGATACTGCTGCTCATGTTCAGAATAGGTATTCCCCGCTTTATTTGCTGTCTGACATACAGGTAGTCCCTAAAAACACCCATACAGATACATGCAAAAGTGTGCTTTATTAATTTCCCAGACCTTTTTCAATCCAATCAAATGAACATCAACATTAACCACCAGGTTTACCATCTTCGGGAAGTGCTTCCTCCACATGTGACAGCACAAGAGGGAGACTGCTCTCCCGACCAGCCCCGGGTTGGGATGTGGCAGGTTGAAACCCACATGAAGGAGCCTGACTAGGATGCCTGTCCTCACCAGGGGCTCCTCACACTGGCCTCCCCCGGGGAAAAACACTAGGCCTCTCCTTCAGCAGCACCAGGGGGAGCCACAGTCAGGAGTTCTGCTTGCCTGAAAATGGCAGCCTGCTCAGAGATCTGCCCGAACAGCACCTGCACTCACGGGGCTGGCAGTGTTTACTCTGAACTAGAAGCATCAGGTCACCAAGGGGAACATCTGAGGAGAAGATGAAAGATCCTCAGAGCCATGTACCGATTGTAATCTAAAGCCAGAATTCCAGAAGTGGTTAAAACTCAGAAAGAAAACCCACTCTACAAGAGCAAACTACATACAGAAGGAACACTAAATAGGATGACAAGCCTTTTTCCTCTCAGGATGAGTATCTGAATCCAAGTCAAAAATGTCCCAAACTTATGCCCAGACTATAACAGCTTAAGACCAACGCATGTGGAACTTACAATTTTTCAGCTTCCAGACATAACAACTTCAGAGCTGTGAGTAATCTCCAAGATGGTCCATCCCACCCAAATGTCAAATTTCTAAAGTAGGGAAACAAACAGCAGTAATCTGTCATTTCATTATTTATTAACACCATGAAAAACAGCTAAAGAATAGAACATTTCTTTTTAAATGGGGCCACAAAATATTGTTACTTGTAACCTAGGTCAAAAACATAAATAATCTCAAGTACTTCATAAATATATATAATTTTTTGGTACTAGGAATCAAGCTCACAACCTTACACTTGCCAGGCAGGTGCCGTGCCTCTGAGCTATACCCCCGGCCCCTCAACAAATCCTAAGGAACAGAAAATACTATTTTTTTAAAATAAAAAGCTACTTTCTAACCAATTTTAGTGAGAGGCAAAACTTGGTTGAGAGGTCACAGCAAGAGGGCACAACTCACAGTCCACACTGAGATGAATAAGGAAGAATTTAGATTACCTTGGACCATTAAACAAACGTAAAGCACCAGAGCCAGCCTGCTTTCACACTATTGCTAGGTTATTTAAAATTTGGTATTATCCAGAAAACAAACTGGAAAGGGACAGCCTTAAACTCTGCCCACCCCACCTGGTGTGGGTGGCCTAGCCACCCACGTACCCCAAGTGCTGTGCCGTGATGCAGCTACAGCTTACCCATGGTGCCTGGTAATGGTTCTCCTAGGGACCAGGCTGGCCTGCAATAACCCAGTGCCACCCCACCTGGCCACACCGTGCCGACAAACTCATCAAGGGCCATCAATCAACGCAGGGCTCTCTCTGTGACAGTAATTTCAAGTTTCTATGTTATATCCTCCAAATAAGCGTCTTTTAAGCATCTTACACTTGATGCAAAATCAGGCACAACTGGACCGCACCCAGCAAGGGGTCAATAAATACCCACTTGTCAGCTGATACAAGTCAGGAAAGGCCTAATACCTACAGAAATTCATGAGAATTGCCTGCAAGAGCAATTCCAAGAAAGAAAGTGTCACACTTACTCCAGAAAGCCATGCTCCTTTAAAATGGAAATCTTTTTGTTCATCTGTTTATCCACTGATGGAAGATACTTTACAAGTATTTCTACATTAAGAAGAAAATCAGAGATTTAGGATGGAATGAAGACAAAAGTATGTCTCTCCTCAACTTTCCTTCCCATTAGCAACTGAGTCAGAGTATGCAAGTTTAAACAGTGTTTCTCATTCACATAAAAGAAACCTCTTCCAGCCCCGTTCAATGAGCTCATTAGTCCCGGACAAGCTGTAGGACTTCCAAAGCTGGAGGACAAAACATCCACAAGCTCAGCTCTTACTAAGTAGCTCAACCAGCAAAACCAGGGAATTAAGATACTATGTTCACTTCTGCAAAATAACAAGCAACTATAGTACAGGCTCGGTAAAACCTGAGGAAAAAGTCTTACAATACTGAGCTTTAAAAGCCAGAATTCAACATAGTCTGGACATTAATGATTCCAATCATAAACTATTTAAAATAAATATGCAAAAACTGACAAAGCTATTGAGAGGAAGGGGGAGTGAAAGGTTTTCTTTTTTAAATTGTATTTTGTTTTGTTTGTCTGTGGTGCTGGGAATCAAACCCAGGATCTTGAACAAGTGAGGCAGGTGTTCTACCACTGAGTCTCCCCCTCAGGTCCTCCTTTACTTTTTATGTAAAAGTAACGAAAATGTAATTTTATTCAAATTAACTTATTTGATAACTATTATTGTGCAGTCATAAACTTTAAAGTTATCTGGATTCTGAACCATGAGGCCAGTCCAAAAGCTAGTTTTCTAATATATCCTGCAAGCTGGAGGACAAAACATCCACAAGCTCAGCTCATTTTCCATTTCCATTCTGAGAAATATTGTCATTATTCTGCCTATATTGTCATTAAACTGCCTTGACCAAGTTTCTAAGTTCATCTGTCCTTACCTCAAACTACAACTGGGGAATGTGGCCATTTCTTCACGGCCTAGAAACTGCTTCTCTGTTCTTTCCAAAGGGGGCAGAATCAGCCTTCTCTGTACTGTTTTTAATACTAAATTTGGACTTTTGTTCCCCTAACTTTGATGACTATTTTAAAACAGAAATATAAATGAAGGTGCATGTTAGATCACAAAAGTACATAAATGAAATCAACATTTTATCATGGCATTAAACTCCAAAAACAAGGATGAAATAACAGACTTGGCCCTGTGGTTAGCAGTGTTCTAAATACAGTAGGTGCTCAGTAAATCTTTGCCGTTCACTGCTCCCTTATCACGCCCTGTCTTCAGTGATCAACAATGCCTCAGTAACAATATTTTCATTTCTTCCCTCTACTAATACTCATTTCCTTCCCCATCTTCTACCTTCTGACCTACTACCATAAAACACCCCTTAGCTCTCATCCTCATTATCAAAGCTTTGCTGTTTCGACTTCAGCACTGAAACCAGGATCCATAAGTTAAGTTAGCTCTATGCAGGAGGAAATAAATGATACATAAGGATATTTGAAGGTTTTGCTATTTAAAAAAAGAATCACTGAAAATAACCATATCTCCTAACAGGAAAAATATTATCTTAGCCATAACAAAGCTGGTTCCAACCTCTCGAGACATAAACACAAGCATGAGGATTGCAGGGGGAAACAAATCCATACTCCAGCAGCAGTCTGTGGTTATCATGAGGGCCATAGCAGATAAACACTTCTTCGTGTTTTCTACAACTTGAAGCCGTTCTAATTCCGTAACAGCCCGTTTCCTCATTAAATGCTGCTTTTACCTACAACGAGAAATTGTTACTTTTCCTTAAACATCCACAGCACACTCTCACCTCACCTCAGCCTACCGGGCCAGCAATTGTTGAGTTCCTATAAAAGTAACAAGCGGACGGGCCAGGAGATTGGCCTGAGCCCAAGAAATCCAGCAAGACTCTTCCCTCAGCTCTCTTCTTACAGCATGGGGGATCAACAGGACAGTATCAACCCTCTGGTGGTGGCATGTCACACCAAGAGGATGGAAAAGGTTCAGATCCCAGCCATGTGGTCCACAGTGTGCCCCCACTGGGCTCCATATGAGCTTCCAGATGGGCACTTCTCTCCCTCCAGTCAGGCCTTTACGCAGCATGCCCTGCAAATGCCCTCATCTCCTGCACGTGCCACGTGGGGAAGGGGCTGAAGAAGAAGATATCTGTGACTGTTTCCCTATTCAAGATTCTTTCATGATTTCCCAGAATCTGTACCCCATGAACATGCATCCATCAGTGAACATTTACTGAACACCTACTATGGCCCAGATTCCGCTCTGAGCACTGGGGATACAAAGAAGAGCAAGACAAAGCCTCCAACTTCAACAATTTCAGGCTTGGTAGGGGAAGGGGGAAGTCAGTCAGTGACTGGAGCCAAGATACAGGCCCTCTCGGATAAGTTAGCAAGGATGAAAGGGACGGGAGGAAAGCAAGCTAGACTTCCGCCGCAGTCTGGAAGGGGGAAGGGCAAGGAGGACGCTGCACCATGGCTTGATGGTAAAGGCTCTCCAGGGGAACAGCACAGGGCCCTGCAGGCTAGGACAGCAGAGTGGAGAAACAGAGCAAAGGAAAGACAGACAGGGGCCTGTGGAAAGGATCAGGTGGAGGCTGGTGTAACACATTTACTTGAAGCCAGAAGCATCTCTCTCAGTGCTTCCACTGACCGCTGGAAGTCCCAGACTCTACATGCTAGATTCTGCCTCTCCAAAGAAAACATGCGTCTCCATGTCAGCTTCTCACCTGGACACTTGGGCTGTGATTCAGCAGATCCAGGTAAGGAGCCAGCGCACAGGTGTCGGGCTCTGATGAAAGGCAGGCCCGCCTCCTGGCCCTCAGGTACACTGCTCTGGTGTTGACTGTGCACCAGGCCCACAGGAGGGCGCTGTAGCTGAACACGGTGTCAATGGCCTCTTCAAACAGAGGCTGCAGGGAGGAAAAAAAGTCTCTGGAGGAAGCAAAGAACTCCTGCACAGACGTTCTCTGTTCTTCAGCCTTTGTTTTTAAAGGTTCAGGAAGAAGATTCGCCACTTCTGGCTCCAAACAAACAGGGCAGGTGTAGGACTTGGGTAAAACATCCAGGTAAGGCTTCCAGACAGACTGCTCACCAGCGTGCCTTTGTGAGACTAAAAACGTGCACAGAGCCAGGAGAGGAGACGGAGGCGGCTTCCACCTTGTAAAATGAAAAGCTGCTTACAGAAATGATTTTTACTCAAAATATGGAAAGAGCAAGTGGTGTACTTGGTGCCAGAGGACTGTGCTCACACTTAGCAATCTTAGTGCTCTAAACTGACTTCATGCACCCAAGACAGCTTAAAGCTTTTCCTCTCCAGAACACACCCGTACACGTGCTCTGGACAAGACATGATCACATCAGAAAAGCAGACTTCCAGCTCAACTGACGGGTTCTTTCATAAGAGAAGATTTTTTGCAAAAACTTCCAACTTATTTCTCCAGTTTGTGAGCTTTTGCAGTAAGTCCATTTCTTTCCCCTGGATATAGATTTAAAATATGGTTGTGGGGAGCTTTGACTGCACACTTCAGTGCAGTAATGACTGGGTACATGCGTGCAACTATGAATTGAAATTATTTAAACTGAATAATATTTAAAATTCAAGTATTTGGATTCAATTACTTAAATTCAATTAAGTAGGACGAGCCATATTTCCAAAAACCAACATTCATTTGTGGCCAATGTGGACCATATCGGACAACAGAAAGTTATGCCTCTGTCATTACCACAAGTTGCAGAAGCCTGCACCAACTTGGACTGCAAACTGAGTATGCTCATTATAAACTTGCTGCAGTTCTAAAGCTTTTATTCCTAAACATATATGCTCTATTATAGATTATGCATAATGGTATTTTTGTGTTGCATACTTAGCAAAAAAAATCCCACGTAACATGAATATGTTTAGAAAAAGTTTTCATTAATCCTCCAAAGTCTGGATTCCTACACTGCCATACACTCTACTCAAAACTTGAGAAACAACTCTGTTATGGTTTGTGTCTGCGTGTCCCCCCAAAGCCTCATGCGGTCATGGGGCAGGCTTTTAGAGTTTGATTGATTATGGGTGTGAG